TTATTCGCCGTTTGATGGATACGGTTTGAAGGTTCTAGGAAATCAAAATGTAACATAGACATATTAACTTTAGTATTTTGTTTCTATTTTAGACGGTAATAAGCGTTTTTTTTATTTTTTATTAATATTGCAACAAAATTTACCATTTTTTTGTAGAGGATCTCTAACGTTTAACGAACCCTGAAATCATATTTTTTATTTTTTTGGTCTTTTTACAACAATTTTTAACATACATCTGTAAAATTTCCAATGTTAAAATAAAACTCATTTCAGTTTTTAATTTGCAAGCCTTTCACTGTTTCCAAACTCCACTGCATTTACTCAATCCGAATGTCAAAGGAAAGTCACAAAGGGTTCTTTTAAATTCTTAAGGCCTGTTCAAGATTGTGCTTTTAAAATTTTATGGTTAAGCGCTTTTATTTAACAATTTTTAGTAAACTTTTTACAGAAAAAATAAACTTAGCGATTAGTTATTAATAAATATTATAGTATATATCGCTGTGTGGTGGTAGCGGAACAGACTCCATCGCACCATTTTGACACGATGCTGTCAAGTGACCGTAAGAGGCGATTGTAAACCATAAAAGAATAACCCATACCGGCGACGGCGAACAGCATCAACGGTGCGGAACTGATTTCTGAGAAGGTTATGGAGCAACTAATCAATCGCGTAATGTTAGGGTCGGCCCACACATACCGCAACCACACCACATCGCAGCGACAAAATATGCTCACGTGTGAATAGCGCCGCTACAGCTTTTTGCAGTTGCGTTGTGGTTGCGCTGCAACCCTAGTCGCGGCGTCGACGCAATATTGTGTTTGCGATGTGGCCGGCCTATATTTCCGCGTGGTTCCGTAGTGGTTTTGTCGTGGTTGAGTTGTGATCGGTATCACTCACGCAGTCGATAATGACGGCAAAATGTGGTATGTGTAAATTGTACTATTCATTTCTTATACAAAATGCGCCCGCCCACGTGTTGTGGTTGTGGTACGTGTGTGTAGACCCTAACGTTTTTACGTTTTACTTCGATCTTCTTTCTTTTCTACAATCTTCGAGAAATTTTATTCCTCAGACATACAGGTTCCCTCACGGTGTTTTCCTTCCACCGTGCACTTGACAGGCACTTTTTTTAAATTTTTACATTAATAGTTCACATACACAGACATATAATACACCTATTCAGCATCAAAGGTGCGAAACGGCTCTAGTACTCGTAGTGTGACCACCTGCTAAGTGTAACGACATTACAGAATATAATATAATATAACTAAGGAGTGACGATCAGAACTCTCCCTTCAACGTTAGAGGCCCAAGTCCAGTAGCACATTTTTTGCGGCCTGATGACAAAGTAGAAGAAACATGATACTAGGGGTAATATGCCATCATGTTCTCCAAACGCCAAGGATCCTGCACGCGTTACACCTTTTGATCAACATTCTCGCAAAACTCGGAAATCCGCCGTAGTCGCTCAACTCAAATTCCTAGTGCGAGATCATCACGTGCGTGTCTTCCCAGCGTGTTATCATTACAACATATAAACGTGCACTACTAAAAATATCCACAAACAAAGTAACTTAATCAAATAAACCATTAAAAAAACTATGTGGTGTTGTGTCGGTATCAGAGATCATTCCTTCGTATCGTCCCTTTGAGTGTCGTAAAAAATAAAATAAGTGACGTGGAATGAATTGAAATAAGAAAGAATATAGTGAAATAAACTATATCATTTTCTTCAAAATAAAAAAATAAAATTTCGTTTGTCAAATATCTTTTTTTTTGTTTCGAAACAAGATTCCGCTGACCGGAGAGGAAACGTTAATAAACCAAACGCTTAGCGTATAAAAAAGTCACCCAGAATTCGAGTTTGTAAGATATCGCTATGGAAAATTTTAGGAAGATTTAATTGCTTTCATCAAGTGCCGTGTATCGGCATTCGTTTGAGTATCTGACGTTGTGGTAGAGCCACGCTGCAGCTATAATGTAGTTGTGGTACGAATGGGTCGGCTCGACCGTGGAAGTGCGACGTTCTCACAGAATAACAGCGTAAAATAGTTTTTTGTCATTGGTATGTTTCGTATGGTGAGTGTAGAGAACCGGAGACCACTTTTACTCGATATGAGGCATTCATCTTAGTCCTCAAAGGTGAAAACGCATCTGCATTTTAATATGTAATGAAAGATACAGGTGTCTGTGGGCCACAGTATCCACTTACTGGACTGTGTGCTCGTTTGTCACTCTTATCCTTAATAAAAAAGCAATGATGGGAAGCAGTGTGAAAGTAGCGAGTCTTCTTGTGCTATCATCACCAATCCAACTGCCAAGTATGGAGATTGTAGGAAATCCTTTCTACTATTTAAGAAGTTACTTCCCGTAATAGGTTGGTACCGTTAAAAAATGGTTAAATTTAGTTATCGTTAAATTTCATGGTGGTAGGATCAATTCTTTTCTACCTAGGACTCCTTATTAGGTACAACTCTCTTTCCCGTTTCTACCGCCAAGCAGCTAAACGTGCTCTAATGTGTTCCAGTTTATAGTTGCCGACACGAGTGGTGTCGGGCAAAATTATTGGATACCTTTATTATTTCAAATCGTAATTTAATATTTTCGGCGACTTTTATGAAAATGTTTACCCGAACACATTAACTTTTACTTTGATACAGTAATGTTGCAGATATTCATGTCCGTTATTTTATTATCTACTATAAAGTATTTAATGTATACCTGGTGGTTAGAATTGATTATTTTATTAAAAGAAGGAAGAGGTGATATGCCTTCCATAAAATCTGGTGTTGCGGTGTGCCGTACAGTAGCTACTGAGACATTAGTCGCCTCAGCAGTCGGTTTATAGACGTCTATGATGTTTTTCGCAGTACCTAATTTTTTCATGTAACTAAACACTGAATAGAAAATTTGTCGGGATTATCTATTTAACACCGAATTCTTCCTTCTCTGCATATTTAGACCAAAATCTGAACACTCAAATTATAACAACAAAAATAATTAAACACCACAAGAAATAACAAAAACAATTAATAACAAGGAATACATAAACAACAATTAACAACGAGCTGACAAAAACAATTAACGAAAATAAACTTATTAAAAAATTTATCACTAAAATTATTGCTCTCAAGTGTACGGAAGCCGAATGATACGTTCAAAACCAATAGACGACGAGAATCGACTGATGAACCAATCACGTTGAACGTCAGCGTGGTCAACGTCGTATCGACCAATAAAAAGTGTGCTCACGACTTATGTCGGCAGTTATACATAAATTACGTGAGGGTAATATGGTCACAATAAGCTTTGCCATCTTATAAAACCAAAACTAGGAGGAGGGCTGGGGTTGCGCCCTCCTTTCTGCCAAGGAGGGTCGCGTTCGTATACGGCTTAGAGATCTCCAGTCAGATCGTTAAGCCATTTCCTAAAAGGTGGTGTTTAGTGGGTAAAAGTCGCCACATAACCACGCAGCCGGCTGCGTGGTATGCTATGAGCATTCACCACCTCCCTCCCCCGCTTTCCGGAGGGTTGCCCATATTTGCTTCGGGCGCAAAAAAAAAAAAAAAAAAAAAAAAAGAGGGCTGGGACAAAAACACAAAGTCCTATACTATAACTAATATATTAAGAACAAAAATTTGCAAAAAAAAAACCTTGGCAATAATTAGGAACACTTCGAAAAATCTACTTAAAATAACTAACTACACTACACCATACTAAAATCGAATAAAATATTTAATAGAATGTCAACTGCAAAATGGTGTCGATAAAGCAGCGCCCTTTAGACCCTTTATGATTTGATTTACCGATGAAGAGCTATCGTACCGTAATCAATATACAAAGCCATCTATGCAAACAAAGCTGTGATTTTTGAGTTATAAGAAAGTAACCATATTACCCACTTGAACATATTACCCTCTCGTAGTAGTATAAGGAGCCACTATAATTAGAGACTGTGAGGCATTCCATCCTAGTCCTCAGAGGTGACAACGCATCTAAAGCCTCCAAAGTGGACTGTAAGTTCTTTTGTCGCTTAAATTTCATTATTGTTTTGTTTTTAAGTCCCAAGCAAATAATTCTTATCCAAAGTAAAATATGTTCTATACTGGGTGATTTTTTTACCGTTTGAAAAAAAAGGGTGTACCAGGCGAACGGAATAGAAGCCTATGGCACTGTTATTTTTCCATTTTTTTATTTTACATTAACATATGAAATCGATCTATCAATAAGATATTACTAATTTGAAATAAACTTTCGGTACTAAAAAATAACAACAAAATTTTTGAACTAAATAAATAAATCAAATAAAAACTATCGAAATTAAAATAATACGTACCTTTTACCCTTTTTATTTAGTAGTATTTATGGATAGATCAATTTCATAATATCTAAACGTAAAATAAAAAAAAATTGTAAAAAATGACTTACATCCTATTTTTTCCAGACAGTAAAAAAAATCATCCAGTATTGTTTTAAACGACTAAAAACGTGACAAATATTCTTTTCAATCGACTTTAAAAAAGGAGGAGATTCTCAATTCGACTTTATTTCTTTATGTTTTACCTCAAAACCTCTTCTAGGTGAACCGATTTTGATGACTCATTTTTTATCTGAAGCTGGTGCTTCTCATGTGGTTTCATATAAATTTTATCACGATCTAACCATTAGTTTTTGAGTTATCCTTAATAATGCGTATTTAATTGACTTCGACTACATTGATTTATATTGAAGTCGGTTGTACAAAATTTTTAATTTTACACTTGTGTTTATATTTTAGTGATATTTTTTCTTGTATTTTCTGCAAAAGTTTATAATATAGAGGCTATAGATAAACATCACACCGTACATTCACTTGTATGAAAAGGATTTTGATGTTTAGGTTAAGATTGCAACGTAACACATACTTGTGTAACAGTATAATATTCGTCACTTTATCACCAATATAGGTACTTATTATTTTTTGTATTCTATCTGAAGGTGAAGACAGCAACTACCCAGCATGCGAACTAAACGCCCAAGGTCCAGCAGCGCGTGGGTGGCGAAGCGCTGGTACTCCACCCCACGAGCTTCTCCTACGACTGACTTGCGTCACCAGTCTCCACAAGCTACAACTGCTGGCACACCATCAGCTTATACGTGAGTTAAAGATTCAAATTCTTTTATGATAAAAAATAGCCTACATACTTCCCACAGCAAGGATACAAGCCACCTCTTATTTTTAGAGCAAAGATTATCAAACTTATTTCTTTTAGCCCCCTCTGAAAATCAATTATTTTTAGAGCCTCTAATTTTTTATATGCTCCTAAAACTTAAAAACCACAATTTCATTAATTAAGTTTATTTAGTTATGGTGTGCTATTAGTCGGTTCTGGTGTTTAAACTTTTATTCTAAACTGGACATTATTACCAGTGAGAGCAATTAAAACGCAACTGCATACTCGTAATATCAAGAACATATTTTAATCAGATTAAAAGAAACAATATTGATAGGTAATAAATTTTCGTTTTAAAACTAATCTAATGAGATGGATGAATTTGATGATTTTTAACAAGTTTGTTGATATCAGGTTAGATTTTACTCAAAAACAGTCGCCAGTCGCCGCGTTCGATAACATGCAAACAATTTATTTTTTAGTAAGCAGCATTGTCACAGCGCTAAATCCATGTTCATACAAGTATTCACACGATAGGAATGCTATCAAAAATTGTTAAGCGATCGACCACAATTCAACTGCCGGATTGACTTTTGTAACTAAAATCCTCGGTACCTATTTTTGAATTAGATTTTTATTTCGTTGTTCGTTGTCAGTTCTATAAGTTCTTCTTCCGGTTAGGGTGATACTGCTATTTTGCCATTCGAAAAAGGATCTAACACCCAGTCTGGTATTTCCAGTTTCAAAATGTCTTGGAATCTTTCAACGAAATCACTGTGGAGATTTTCCGAACGTTGGCAGTAGACAAGCAAGTCGTCGTTGTTGCAGGATACTGATAAATTGTGAAAATTATGACACTCACGTCTGCCGATATTCTTCTTGTGTAAGAGCAACTTAGCTACGAAAGCAGCGACTTTTTTGTTTTTATTAAGTTCAAGTCATCGCCTTGAAGTTAGAGATTCATATCATTATGCAGTTTATAAAGGTCTGTCAGGTATGTGATATCATTCTTTAATGAGATAAGGTTGTCGCGCAATTCTGTGTCTTCGATTTCCAAGAAATCTACGACAGAGTCAAACAGATTGTAAAATCGAGTCAGACAATTTCCTTTTTATAACCAACGCACTTCTGTGTGAAAGATCGATCGCTTGAAATCTTCATCATCAGTAACATACAGCTGATTAAATAATCTGTCTTTTAAAGAGTTGTTTCGAATTTTATTGACAGCTCTGACGACATGTAGCAATGATTGAAACAGTCGTTTACTTAAATTTCTAGCAACAAAATGTTGTCGATGTTATAACGCGATGTACAGCAAGCACATCTGGAATTTTGTTTTTAAGTACGCTATGAAGCCCTAAGGACGCGGATCCCCTTTTCCTTTTTCAAGGGAATTCCTTTTTCATCACAATTTTTTTCCAGTTTTTTAAATATAGTTTCTGCTTTTGTTTCTGTCTCTAAATTTCTAGCAAATAATAGTTCTTGACATATTTTTTTCATCTTTAACAAACCTCACGTAAGACAGCAACAATGCCTCATTAGTTGGTAAAGGGGACTCATCCAAATGAATTTAAAATTGAGTGGTCTTCAGATGATTGCACAATGACTTCAATTTTTTCAGCCATTTCATCATTTTGTCTTTGCACAGAACTATTGCTCAATGGAATTTTTCGAAATATGTCTGCCACCAGTTTATAGAGCATAGTAGTTATAATAACTTCTTTTATTGCCGCAAAAATTAACTTTTCTCCGATGGTGTGTGATTTGCCTGTTTGAGCAATTAACAAAGAGATATTGTATGAAGCTCGAAGTCCGTCACCGTCTTGCTTAGCAGCCACCGAAAAAGGTTTGTTACACTGGGCTGAGCATTATGCTTCTTTTCCAGGTCCTGAAAATAGGCTACATTTTTGTCCTTCTTATCTGGATGCATTATATTCAAATGATGCCGAAGTCTTGATAGCTTCATCACTTCGTCATCAAATTGTTTCTGAACAAAGAAGGCAACGAAGACAAAAATGTATTTGTCGAATTTTCAATGAATCTATATGTAATATGTTCTACACTATATTGCCGTCTCTTCTTTTTTGCTTCCGGAATGGATTTTTTTACAAATATGTAAAGTGTTGAACTGTCTTCATTTCTACGTGGTAGAGTCATACTGCAGTTATATTAGTAGTATAGTTGTAGCACGAATGGGTTTGACCGGGGAAGTACCACGCTCTCACAGAATACCAGCGTAAAATAGTAGCTTAATGCTGCTGTGTTTCGTACGATGAGTGTAGAGAACCGGAGACCTTTTTTTACTGGAAACGAGGCATTCCATCTTAGTCCTCACTCATTTTTCACCCAATCCTATTAAAAAAAAAACTTGTTTAAAGCGCGCGCGCGAAATCACTAATCAAAATATAAAAATTATTACGAGCTTATATATAGGATTTAAATACAGCACGCACCGACAGGAATAAGACATACACGTATAAACTCGTTTATCTCTTTCGACGCTCAATCGTACCAAGTATTGATGAACCAGCCGATTGCTACCGGAATCAAAAACTTGTTACAACTTACGACGTATGAGCTATCCTACGAAATATACGTTAAGTATTTCTAGTTTAATTAATACAGTGCAGAATTATAAACTAATTATTCGATATTAAGTAGTAGGTATTTTAAATTTAAGTAAATTTAAAAAATCTAAATGAAATTACAAATCAACCATCGCCCCCTAAGCCACGCCAATGCCCCCATTTTTCTGGGCTTAACGCCCCCGTCTAGATCTCCAACGCCCACAAACCCTGGAGACTTTTTCCTCCTCCCCCTCTCCCTTTCGCACCTCCAATGCCCACAAAGGGGCGTTATCGCCCACTTTGAGAAAGACCGTTTTAGAGGTTATGTAACACGAGACAGGGTTGCAACGCCAATGCGAATTAGCGGACTTTCATGTCCTGGAAATGTTTTAGTTCCTCAGAAATGAAGGTTAAATCAAAAATGTGTGACATTAAACGTACTCGTAGTATAACCGTGCTGCAGCACAAATGGATCGATTGAACCAGGGAAGTACCATGCTCTCATAGAATACTAGCGTGAAAGAGCAGAATAATATTACTGTCTCGTACGGCGAGAGTAGAAACCGAAGACATTTTCAACTAGTAATGAGGATTTCATCTTAGTTCTTACGGGTGACAACGCATTTTGATTCTTTATTTGATAAATGTAAATGTCTATGGGCCACAGTATCTATTTACCATCAAGTGAAATGTGTGCTTGTTTGTTCGTAAGCCGGTGAGTTTGTAAAGTGTGTATATACATCGACATTTATCCTTGATTTTTTGAAATAAAAAGAAATGCTTAGGACTTGTGAGCGTGTGTCGATGGTTTCATTTGATCCTTCGAGCCAGATCAAATGTCATGAAATTTGACGATGTATAGCATTTTAGTCCTTCGGAATCAACTCCGTTGTTCTTTTTTAGGATTTTTTCGAACTAACCACAAAAACACACATTTACTTATTTAAGGCCTATTGTCAGAAATACAATAATCATTCTCAGCTGCCTGTGTGGAGGTATTGGTGTCAGGTGGGTTGGTTTCGGAGGGCGCGGCGACACCGTGTGGAGCGACTTACACAAGTGTAGGTCGCGTCTCACTCGCCAGACCAACACCACAAGCTCGGACGCGGGAACTCAGGTTAACAATTTTTTTACGTAACTTACTTGTACTTACGTAACTTTAACCCCATAATTTTGTTATTGTATATTAATTACTTATATTTGTGTATACAAAATTTATTAACTAACAAAATATACAATATCAAAAACTTTAAATAATTCTATGCCGATTAAAAGAGATCCACTACTGTGACTAACTTTGTAAAAGATGAGTTTATGAGGCCAAATAACTTTAATGCTCCTGTAGTTATTATAATTAGGAAGGTAATTATAAAAAAAAATGTGATAGGAACCAATTCTGTAAAAATGGAGTCTATGTGGTCCCTTCATATTATAACGTGCCTAGGTCAAGAAAATCTGTTTTTTCGTTCCGTTTCGGCGATATTCAAATTACGGCATCGCCATGTACTCGGCACTCTGTACTGTACTGGCACCGTGTGATCGGTCACCTACTCCTTCACGGCGCCGTATACTTTGCGAATTGCGGGATAAGCAGAGAAATTTTTCCCGTAGGAGATTCTGAGAAAACACTCTGTGCGGGAAAAGAACCAACTTTTTATACATTTTCTTTCTAAATTTATTTTCATGCAACTGCAATAGTTTTTAATGTTGTCTTTAATGTTGCAGATCCGCCGCCCTCCCAGAACCCACTATAGCACGCTTTGTTAAACTCAGACTATCGGGTCCTCATCCTCCAGCGAGCGACAGTGATCAGGTACCTATTTGACAGTCTTTTTACAGTATGGGTATGGGAGACAGCCAATCTGGCTTACCTCACCACGCCTGGATTTCAATAAACACTTTATTTCCTCTAAGTGGAAAGATGTACTACTAAAATCACATAACACACACAACGGTGCCGTTCATTAAAATCTATACGTGTGGACGTGGTAGGTGATTACGATGCATTTGTAGTATAGATTTTATTGGTCAGGGTTTGCTACAACTGTATTGATACTAAAATTGCTATTGTTCTACCTTTTTAAATATATAATAGTTTACAGGTTAAACAAAGTTTAGGATAGCACTAATGTAACAAACATTACATCGGTTTCGAATCTTGGTAAAGTTTCGATAAAATTTCCAAAGTTATTATAAAGGCCAAGTCCAGATACCGCAACTACTCGTATTATACTAACGTTATTTGAGAAATCAAGCTCAATACAAATTTCAAACTTTCATTATAGTTAAGTGCTAGAACTAATCACCTTATTATATTTTCATGATCACTATACATTGAATAAAACTACGGGAACTTCGGGAATTAAAAATAAGGAAAAATTGAACGCGATAAATTTTTCGTTATGATAAAATAATTTTTATTACAAAAGGCATGGACGTAAAAAATATTGTACATTTAAAAATGTTATAGTGGTTTACATCAGAGAATAAATAAGAAATATGTTGTGGAGTGGAATAAATACGTTAGAGACGCCCACGGGGAGGCTCGACTTGCCTTTCAAACGTGGGTCTTATACGGTAAGCCATCTTCGGGTTATTATTATAATAAAATGTGTGAAACAAGACGGAATATCAAGTCAAAGTTAAAATGGTATCAAAATCACGCAGAGCAATTAAGAATGGATAAGATCGCATCATCTCATTCGCAAAAGAAATTTAAAGAATTCTGGAAACTTACGAATAAACTGAATCCCAAGTCGAGCCTTCCGGCTAATATTTCAGGGTCACAACCAGCCTGGAGACATAGCCAATCTATTTAAAGAGCATTTTAAAATAGAGTCACCGCGGGGTCCGTCATCGAGATTAATCGATGGTGGACGTTTTGCAGATGGATCGTGTGTAAGGATCTCTGCCAAAGAAGTTTTTGAAGTAATAAATTCTATGACTAGAGGTAAATCACCAGGGCATGATGGGCTTAGCATTGAACATCTGGTACATGCTGGTGCCCATCTGCCAAGAGTGTTGGCTATGTTTCAAAGTTTATGTATAGCTCATCAATATCTTCCGACTGATCTCATGAAGACAATTGTGGTGCCTATCATTAAGAACAGAACAGGAGATATATCAGATTTAAATAATTACAGGCCAATCTCACTAGCCACCATAGTGGCTAAGGTGCTGGACGGTCTGCTTGACAGGAAATTGAGAAAGCTCATTCATCTGCATGATGCTCAATTTGGGTTCAGACCTGGACTATCCACAGAGAGTGTAATTTTGTGTCTTAAGCAGACTGTTAGGTACTACACAGATAGAAAAACGCCGGTGTATGCCTGTTTTTTAGATCTATCAAAAGCTTTTGATCTAGTCTCTTATGACATTTTATGGCGAAAGTTACAGGAGGAAACTGACTTGCCCCAGGAAATTATCTCCGTATTTAAATATTGGTATAGTAACTAAATAAACTATGTTCGATGGGGTAGCAGCTTTTCTGAGGGGTATGGGCTGGATTGCGGGGTGAGACAAGGAGGGTTGAGTTCGCCTACGCTTTTCAACTTATACATAAACCAGTTGATTGTGGAGCTCAGCAGCACTAAGGTCGGTTGTTCTATAGACGGAGTTTGCATAAATAACATAAGCTATGCAGATGACATGGTGCTGCTGAGCCCCACGATAGGTGCACTCAGAAAGCTGCTAGGGATCTGTGAATCCTACGCAAAGACCCATGGGCTCAAGTATAATGTAACGAAGAGCGAGCTCATGGTTTTAAATTCAGGCACTAAAAGGCAGCTCACCATGCCTACTGTTAAGCTCTGTGATAGTCCTTTGAACAGAGTCGTCAAATTTAAGTACTTAGGCCACTGGGTAACAGAGGACTTAGAGGATGACTTGGATATAGAAAGGGAACGTAGGGCGTTGGCTGTTCGCTGTAATATGCTGGCCCGCAGGTTTGCACGATGTACTAAAGAAGTTAAAGTTACGCTTTTTAAACATGCAACTTGTGGGTCGGATACACGCAGCGGACATACAATGTCCTGCGTGTACAATACAATAATGCGTTCAGGGTGCTGTTAGGATTGCCGCGTTATTGTAGTGCCTCTGCCATGTTCGTCGAGGCACACACGGATGGCTTTCATGCCATAATACGTAAAAGGTCCGCTTCATTAATGAATCGACTACGTACCTCTACCAACAGCATCCTGAATACACTTGCTGATAGGTGGGATTCTGCCATTATGAAGCACTGGTTGAGCCTACATATAAAATTGAATAAATAAGATATTTGTAACGTAGGAGCGATATTTAATTTGTTAAGTTTAAAAAAAAAGTTAAATACTAACATTAGTTCTAAGTAGTTATTGTTCTACTAACATCTTTATGGACAAAGTCTGAAAATAAATTATTATTGTTGTGGGGTATCTATATAGTTTTCTCATCTGGTTGGGTTCTATAAATATATAATTATAAATGAAAATGAAAAGATAAATATACATAAATATCAATAACATAAAATAAATATAAAAATACTTAAATAAATAAAAGCCCAACCAGATGGAGGCCCTCGGCAGGGGAGACCAAACGGCCGAGGGTTAGGGGGAAAGGGAAAGAAACCGGCGGACGATGCGGGCGGTATCGAGGAGCACCGCCTTCTGCATTTGAGCCCGGAGCGATCCGCCACGTAGTCCCAGTCACCTCAGATGACCCGAGAGGCTGACTGGGATTAGCCCGTTTGCAGAGACGACTACAGGAATAATTTCGGTCGGTAGACCACCCCACATGTCGGTCACCTCGTGAGCCAGGTCCAGATATTTTGTTTGCTTGTCTGTTTCGGCTTTCACGAGGTTCTCGTCATACGGAATGGTAATGTCGACCAAAAATATCCTTGACTGTGCCCGGTCCATCAGCACAATATCAGGCTTATTCGCAAGAATAGTCCTGTCTGTGATGATGGCCCGGTCCCAGTAGAGCCTGGCGCGGTCATTTTCGAGCACGGCTTCCGGCAAGTACTTGTAATACGGCAATTTCCGGTCCACGAGACCAAATTTCAGAGCGAGCTCCTGGTGTAGAATTCTGGCTACTAGGTTGTGCCTGTGCAAGTACTCAAGGTTAGAAAACGCTGAACAACCGGAGATGACATGCCTAAGTGATGGGATGGCGACAAGCTCGACAGATGTCGACGGTGCCATCCTTTAGGATGTATCTCCGATAGTTGTTGATCTTAATAACCTGATCCTGTATTGCACAGACAAAACCCTCGGTTTCCCCGAAGAGGTCACCGAAACGTAGCCAGTTGAGGGAGGCGACTGTATCTACGAAGGGCTCATGAAGAGCCCTGTAGTACCTCCCGTGGAGCTCTTTCTCCTTCCCTACGGTCTCCCGGTCGGAAATGCTAAGCACTGCTGGGTCCTGCCATTGCTCGTGGGCTAAGGATAGAGGGGTAAGCCCTTTATCACTAGAAATGACGTCATAATAGAATGGATCATCCGATCTCGCCAGGAAGTAATCACGGAGGCTGCACACTTCGCGATTATGCATGGTGAGCGCGCTCATAAAACCACGCCCACCTTGCTTTCGCGGCAAGTACAGCCTCATTACCGACGATCTCGGATGATGCATCCTATGGGACGTCATGGTAGTGCGGACTTTTCTATCCAGGGCGTTAAGTTCGGTCTGAGTCCACCTGAGTATGCCAAAGGTATATATGAGGACAGGCATGACCCAACCGTTATATGCGTGTGTCTTATTCACACCGGACAAAAGGCTGTTAAGCACTTTGGTCAAGCGTGCATAAAACACGTCGCAAACTGACTGTTTCATACCAGCCTCATCGATACCGATGTTCTGTGACATACCCAGGTATCGGTATGTTTCAGCCTCGGAAAGGGTCTTTAAGTTGACGGGCATAGATAAATCTATGCCCTCAGAGTTAGCAACCCTTCCCACTTCAACATGAAGGACCGCACACTTATCCGTCCCCAGCTCCATTCCAATGGAATTGCTAAATTCACAAGTGATGTTTAGCAATTCCATAAGATGGGAGCGACTGGAGGCGAATAACTTGAGGTCATCCATATAGAAAAGGTGGGTCACTTTTGTTCCTCCTTTCCGTAGCTGAAATCCTCTCCCGGAGCCCTCCAGTAAGGTACTGAGAGGGTTCAGAGAGAGGCAGAACCAGATTGGACTCAGACAATCGCCCTGGAAGATACCCCTTCTTATCCTTATGTGGTTCTCCGCAGCCATCATCCGCTCGCCCTGATAACAGAGGATCGTACTCCACTGCCCCATACACTGCTCGAGGAAGTCTCTAACTGTACAGTCAATTTTGTACAGCTCGAGGACCCTCTTTAGCCATGCATGGGGCACCGAGTCGAATGCTTTTCTGTAGTCTATCCAGGCGGCGGAGAAGTTCCGACGGTTGCGTTTTACCACTTTGCCAATGACCGCGTCAATGAGGAGTGGTTCCTTGGTTCCACGACCACCGCCCCGACATCCATTTTGAGCGCGTGACATCACCTGATTTAGCTCCAGGTGACGAGTGATTCTAATCGCGATCAAAATGGATGTCAGTGTCTTATATATAGTGGTTAGACACGTGATGGGGCGGTATTTGCTCGGGTCTGTGGTATCCTGATCTTTAGGAACCAAGTGAGTGATCCCAGTAGTGAAGAGGCTCGGGAGCGACTTCTGATCGAGAGCCTCTTGATACTGTCGGGCGAGCACAGCGTGACACACTACGAACCCCTTCAGCCAGTAATGATGCAGCCCGTCGAGCCCCGGACTTTTCCAGTTCGGGGCCCTACGGACCGCCTCAGCCACGTCTTCAGGCGTTATGGTGACGGGGTCCATAGGCGTAACACTTGCACTCTGGCTCGCCACAACTTCCATCCAAGGGCCCTCGCTGTGGTTTACGGGCTCTGACCACAGGCCACGCCAAATATATGCGACAGTGTCAGCCTGATCCGGTCCTGGGCCCGCTCCACATACCTCTGGTCGCTCCAATGATTTATAGAGCCTCTTCTGATCACTCTGGATGAGACGATTTTGGTTGAACCGCCTTAACCTCTCGCTAAATCGTCGAATCCGCTTCCCCCAAGCAGCGATTTTTGCTTCAGGTCGTCAATGCGCTCCGTTAGTTTCTGCGTGATATCCGGCTGTGACAAACTAATATTTGTCCCAGCAACGCCATTCTAACGGTGCGCACAACTCTCGGTCTAATATTATCCGACCTGAAGCTTGTCAGTCTGCCGATAAGGGCCCTTGCCTTTGCGATACGGTCCTCGATTCTTTTTCTCCAGGCTGGGATGGCACTACCTTGTTGAGTAGCACGTCCAGCCATGGGAAGTTTGGCGCCAATAATACGGCATACTGCCAGTGCGGCGCCAAAAAGAATTGAGTCCGTCTCGCAAAGGTCCCGGCTGGCTTCCAAATAGGTCACCAGCATTGGGTTAAGAGCCCGCACGACAGCCCGATTTCGCTTGCTAAGGGGTATCCGGGGAAGTCGCGGTCGATTTTCGAGAGGCATGCTGCGCGTTTCCAGCATCGACTCTTCCAATATGCTCCTCATTTTCTCTAGTTCGTGGGGGACTATTCCATCATCGTCTGAATCAACCACAAATGGAATATTGACGGCAGCGGCCACATTTGCAGTTTGCTGCGCAATTAGTGGCGCCGCGTTCCCAGCCATAGCATTTCCATCCGATGAGGGAACAGCCTCACGTCGTAGTCGTTCGAGTTCGGCGTCACCAAATATGTTGGAGCGCAGGATGTACCGAACTCGGTCTGCCAGGTTTTGCTCAGTGACGGATAGAGATGACTCCAGCTCTGCAAAAAAGCGATGCGCTTTTTTGCAGAGCTGGAGCCGATATGCCCGATATGCCAAACATCCGGTTTCTTCCCCTTTTGCCCTAAAGTACGCCCGCAGTGCGTTTGCGTTCATTGTTTGTGACCAACGCATGCGACGTGCTCCACCAGCGGCGGGTGCCGCTTGCTGAGTCCGAGAAGACCCAGCCGACACCAAGCCTTCTGGTGGGGATGATGGATGCGGAGGGCTGCTAGGTGATCGTACAGCTCCTCGCGCTCGGCTGGCGGCCCGCATGCTGCCGCGTCCAGCGCCAGCTCCAGACGCGCCCCGGCGACCCCCAGGCAGCGGCCCTATGCGCGTTCCTTTGTACCATCATCCATTTATGGCCGCCAAATAACGGGAGACGCCCAAGCCCGGCACCGTTTCGTGGTTCGGTCTTATGCACAAACGGACCTTTGCACCCACAATTTTGCCTAGGCACGGCGCTCACACCTCTTGGCAGGGCGCTAACTGACTGCGCCGACGTAGTAGTTTTGTCACATAACTGTTACGTCAGCGGGCGATGGGGTCGTCACTTCCCTACGCCTTTTATTATTATTATTATTATAAATAACAGTACTAAGTTTAAACTAGTAAGAGTACAATAATTTAAAAAAAATTATCTGTAATAAAAATGCGTAATATCTAATTACACAGGTAGCACTGATGGCCGTTAACGTTCTTGGTGATGAAATAGATGAAGTTGGAAATACCACGCCTGTAACCCCAAAATCCGAGCCAACCTTTTCTCCATACGATGACCTGGCTTTCGTTATGTATGTTGACAACGAGATAGCCGATCTGGTTAGGAGTTTGGATGAAAAGAAAAAGACTGCTGTATCTGGTGAGTGACATTCCTCTTTTCACTCGCTTATTTTAGCTATCTATGAAACGGAATCTTTTAATGTAATTTTCACCCACTTGTAAACGGCCAACTGCCTTGAAAATTTGCACTATTATCAAGTACCGATGACAATACAATAATTTAATAAGATTATCCCAGTATTCTGATCACAGCACACCAATCTGTTAAGGTTTTTTTTAAACTCTTATATTATTGTTGATTTTTTAATCTATAAAGAGTTTAATGTTTTTGGCGACAATGAAACTTAATTAACAAGACGAAGCCACGTATTCTGTTCAGTTGATAGTTGATCATCCATTATTTCAATTTAAAATCGAATCAGCAAATTTTCACTAATTTTACAGAGGAGCGATTTGAATACGCACGACGTCTGAAATCCGCCGCATCTGCTCTCGCTGCTGCTGGTATACGGATCGGTCGCTGGAGGCTACGAAAAAGAACTGCTGCGGCAAGAGATGACTTCGAGTTGGCAAGGAGGATGCGAGACAGAATTGCAGACGCGTTGACTGGCGTTAAAGAAGACCCACAGCTATGCAGACTCTTCGAAGAGGATGGGGTAAACTGTTTCTGTTTATGTTTTAAATTAAAAAAAATATGTGTGACAGTCCACACGCGGTAGAAGTGAAACCTTCGGAAAAAGAAACCGTGATAATAAAAAAACACTGTATACTGTATTCTTTCTCATTCTCTCGCAGGCTAAATCCTATAGATGTACATATATGTTTGTCTCTTTTTAGTATTCCTTTTTCGTTTCGAGTTTCATATTGCAACGATTCTAAAGAAGTTTTCACTTCAAATAGTAAAGTTACGGCTCATATACATCCCACTACTGGGCTCAGGCCTCCTTTCATTTCTGAGAGGGTCATGGAGCAATTAATCAATCGCGAAATTTCACGTCTTACATTTTACGTCGTTATTACGTCTTCGAGAAATTTTATTCCTCAGACATGCAGGTTTTCTCACCATGTTTTCCTTCCACCGTGCACTTGACAGGCACTTGTTTTTATCTCTACATTAAAAAAATTAAATAGTTCACATTAACATCTAATCACACCGCCATAACGTATCAAATTTGAAAATTAAACATGTATTAAATGTTTTTTTTTAAAGAAGAGAGGCAATCGAGCATGCGGCTTATATGTTTGTAAGTGACTATTGCCGCCCATAAACAACTGAAACACCAAGATATATGTTAATTTAATGCCAGCCTTTTAAAAAAGAATATCTAGGTTCTTTTTTTGAAGTTCCTTCAGTCGTATGGTAAGACAAAAGCATTAATCCGCATGTGCATATTTTGACAGCAAGTAAAATAACCCAAAACCTCGCCAAAACTCCCGAAAACAACAATAGTTCGTCGATTATAATAAGGATTAATCATTAATTACGCTGTTTAATAATTTGATTGGGTTAAAAATTCATAAGCCATTAGTTAATCACTGTTTGAATATTACAATGTAAATATCTGGTGATTCTCATAATTTGGTACCTAACTTGAACCGGTGAACACGTGTCCGCCGCACGATGCACCGGAACACGTGTCCGCCGCGCGATGATTCACATATTTCAATACCTAACCTAAACCGGTGAACACGTGTATATATTTACATTTACAGAAACGAAACTTTTCGTACTGCGAATTGCCAATCCAGCTTCAAGATGGATAAATTATTTTTATTTCAGCCGGATTCGCGCAACGACTCGTCGATGCCTCAAGCCTACGACTTCTCCCACCATTTATCACCATCAGTGGTTGCCGGCTCCCTCAGTATGGACATACCATCACCTGTACCACCGATAGACAACGAGGTCGAACCACCGGAACAGGAGTTCGTAAACGGCGTAGAGGATGAAGAAGTTGATAATGTTCCTAGCGTAAGCTTACAATTACTTTGCTTATTAGTAACCTTGATGACCTATTTGCACATAAAAACATAATTGTTAAAACGACTTACTATGGAGGATAATATAATATATTTGCGGGTATTTTTAACGCACGAAGATTGAAGACGACCCAAATGTACGATTGTCGTGTAACTCTAGTGACAACTTTTGCCGGTGAGAGTTACTCCATATAGTGTATTGTCTATGGTTACTCCGCAACTGCGTTAATTATTTTTGCGGTTTCAACCTAAAGGTTTACACGGAGCCTTATTATTATAACTTAGCTTTGTATATTCGTCTGTTTATCACGGATCTCTAATTCATAGACGAAGACCACACCAAAACCAAACAAAAATTAGATTATGATAAAATTACTATACATGAAAAAGGAACCGATAAGAATCTATTTTTCTTACCCTTATTTTTTCTTTTTGTGAATGATAATTGGATACATAAGTACAAGTATACATTTTATTATTTTTAAACTTTAATATCTAATAAAGAAAGTTTTTGTAATGGCGTCCATATCAATAACTAAACTAATTAGGAATTTGAAATTTCCATATATTAATATATTATATTTAATTACATATATACTTACCATGTACTGCAAACATTTTATGGGATTTCTTTTTCACGGGTTGTTGTATCGTCTATAGTTTAAAAATGTACGGATATTTATATATTTATTTAATCTTTATTATACACGTTATATACTAAGGGATATAAAGGGCGGACTTAATGCCTTATGGCATTCCCTGCCAGTCAACCCTGGATGATTTTAGACTCTGTGGCAGGTATAATCAATCACTTCATAAATAAATAATAAGGATTTAAAACAAAATAAATGCAAATGAATAGAATAGATATATAGTTAGTAAAATATACATACTTAATATATAATATAGGACAAATAAAATATATAAACGGGTACTTCTATACAAAACTAAAAGTAAATAAAATATTATGAGAACATTATACAACAGTATCCAAGCGCATAGAAATATTTTTTTTTCAAACAAACATATTTAAAAAAAATAATTTTAATGAAAAAAAATTAATTTGCAAATTATATGTGGTTTTATTAACTCTAACTCACACGAGTTTCAGTAATGCGGGGTCTTTGACAATCCTCTTACCCCTCGGCCAATGCAGAGATAATAAAACTACATACAATTTGCAAATTAATTTTTTTTTCATTGAAATTAATTTTTTGTTTGTATTGTGTTTTTTTTTTGAAAAAAAAATATTTCTATATGCTTGGATACTGATTCTGATAACGCAGTTAACAGGAACCACAGGGTTTTTGTTGTATATATATATATATATATATATATATATATATATATATATATATATATATATATATATATTAATAGATATATGTACGGAACCCTAATAAAGCGGGTTCGATTTGCACTTGGCCACCTTTTTTCATCATGATCCAAGGAATTCACTTGGTATAAAAATTTAATTATGATTTTAGACACCATTGAAAACAAGTCAAGAAGATATACCGACGCAAATCGCTCAACCCCCTCCAGAACACGTAGAGGACAAAACACATGTTACAAAGAAGGAAGAAGAAGAATTAAGAAAAGAGACTGACAGTCCTCGTAGAAGCATTACACCAAATGCTGCAAATGGTGAGTTTCCTTAAAATTAAAATGATACTTAAAATACACACAATAGAATAAATAATGCTACATAAGAGTTTTATATGATTAAAATACTATGAGTGGTGATTGATTCTCGATGATCTGAATTCCCTTCAAAATGTATAGAAAACGAAAATATTCCTTTACAAAACTTTTATTGTATTTTAAAACATTTTACTGATTCTTTTGTCATAAATAGATCTCGGAAATGCTTTAAATCAAAACCTATTTGGAAACAAGAGGTCTCATGATTGCCAGATATAACCTTTATGAGTGTAAACAGTCCCATTTAATGCAATGAAATTAAACGGATAAGAACACGTTTCTTTTCTTTCAGAACTTTCTTTTGAAATTTTTATATGGCCATAGAGGTTATTAATAACGTAAATTCATTTTCATTTCTTAAAGGTACATTAGTTAGACGTAGAAATAAAAGCGCCGGTCCCAGATCGACGTTTGAAGCTTACGAAGAAAGACTGTTACCTGCATTGAGACAGTAAGTTTATAAGAATTTCATTATCACACGTTGAAATTAAATGACTATGTAAACTACGTACGATTCTATAGTTTATAATATAAAAAAATAAGGTTTATACTATCCCACCCCTGGACACAGGCCGGGCACAAGCCTTTTAGAAAGTACAACTTAACTCTTGTGTTACCACAGTTTCTTTATTAAACGCTATAACTAGATTTTACAATAACACATTTTCAGTCTTTTTAAGTTGTGAATGCATTTAAATTTGAGCAAAAACGAGTATTATCAGGAGATCTTCTTTTACGGTATCATGTGAGTGAGGTCCAGTGAATCAATTATTATATATTTCATTGAAGGCAAGGACTAAAAATACCTTAAAAATGAGAAGTGAGTATAAGGTTCAGAGTCCATGTTCGACAAGTACTTTTTGCAGTTCACACACGAATGAGTTTCTTCGAGAGGCGCGGGAAGCCCGTGAGGAGGAGTGCAGTGGGGGCAGTGCTCCCGTCGCCCGAGCTCCACACAGGCTTACTGAACGAGAGAGAAAGCAAGCTGCTTTACCTATCCTGATCTTTGGGTATCCTTTGGTAAGTCTATTTGCTTTGACTTATTTTAAAGTCTTCACTTTGTATTAGCTTTTTAGATTAGGCTGGTATCTGCTGCTTCTTACGGGGAATACACAAATGTTATGTATATATACAGCCTTACTCTTCTGTAACTATTCTTTTTCACTTATACTCAGACAAAGATTTGATTATGTTTATTGCCGTGTATAGGCAGTGTAAGAAAATCCATCACCCCATTTTGGCCTTTGTTTGTCAAAAAAGCGACTCTGGGAAGAAAGGTCAGAGACCTTTGGGTCTCCGACGGATGGCGGTATACCATGTAGTTAATGACACATGTAAATACCTAAACAGGTAACAGCATTAAAGATGGAAAAGTATTACGAGTATATACTCGTATATTGTGCATACATAAAGTCTAATTGATAATAACGTATCATGTGGAAACTTCATATATCTTATGATATATAGAAATTAATCTCTCTCCTTTAGTCTCGCTAAAACTCAAAAACGGCTCGAACGATTTTGATAAATTTTTTGTATGTATTCGAGTGGGTCCCGTGGCTCTGTTGTCAAGAGCCAGAAATCACCCGCGCGAAGCCGGGGTGTATCACTAGTATCGTATAAAGTTGGGATTATTACCATCGTATAAGTATCAATTACCACAAAGTGTTCGACACGTCATTTATAACGTACTAGCTACAATTGAACACATCAATGTTGAACAGAAAACTATTACAGATAAAGGAAGAGATATTTTTTAATCTGCACAACTACACAAAGAAGTTTCACAAGAAACTTTACTTAATCTTATCAATAGCACTGTTACATTTTCGCAAATAGTAATGCAATATAAACAATGTTTTCAACACAGATATGGCTCGAGTGAGCTTATCAATCACGCTGCAGCTATATTATGGTTGTAGCACGAAAGGGTCGGCTCGACCGGGGAAGGACCACGCTCTCACAGAATAGCAGCGTAAAATAATAGCTTGATGCTGCTGTGTTTCGTATGGTGAGTGTAGAGACCCGCAAACCTGTTTTACTGGAATTGAGGCATTCCATCTTAGTCCTCAGGAGTGACAACGCATCTACCTACATTTTGATTCTTAATCGAGATTAAATGTAGATGTCTATGTGCCACAGCATCCACTTACCATCAGGTGGACTGTGAGCTCGTTTGTCACCTTAATTCTATAAAAAAATCCCCGCTGACTGCAAGGACTATCGTCACCATTCAATTATTTCATCTCTGAATAAAAGTTATTAAAGTATTTTTGCATAAAATCCATTACTTATCGAAATATCGATACATTAAAGGACATATTCTATTTCTAACTTATTCTTCAAACGCCAATCTCATCTGCTCGTTGTACACTGTCATGATTGAAAAAGGTTTTCAGCAAATGACTGAAAATCGATCTCTGGATCAGAACGCAGCGCAGAACGCATTTCATAGGCATCACATCATCCATATGTTTCACAAATTGCGGGTTTAGAGAAGATGGTTAGACAGCTCATCCGCGTACCAAGAATGCTAAACTTGTTGGTGATGATGATTTATAGATTTTCTAACAATTTATTATAGATGCCTTTTTTAATGCTTTGCAGTTAAATTTTATTTTTTTAGGAATATACTCTAAAAGTCGCTGCATACTTAACGTGTTTTTCTCAGGACGGAGCGGGACGTCAATTTTTGAAAACATATTTTCATAGAAAATGTAAGTGAAAATGTATATGTTACGGATGCACGGACAGGATGGGGACGTGGTGTGAACGGGACGGGAAAAATATTGTCAGCGACGATGTTTTCCTCGTTTCGTCCCGCGCGCACCACGTCCCGTCCGTGGTCCTGTACGCACAGTCGCTCCGTTAAATTCTTCAAATAAAACATCCATCTTTTATGACACACTAGCACATTAGTTTCGAGTCACTGTCATGGTAAGTAAGCATTAAACTCCCGTCCGTGTTAACATATAACCACGTGCCGTCTCCATCCCGTGCACGTGCTGATTCCGTCCTGTATGCAGCGATCTTTAGACTTGCAGGTATAAACAAAAAATATTCTGTGTCTAAAAAAAAATAGACAGAGCGGTGCGTACATTTTAAGTGACGAAACCAAGCCAAAAGCTTGCTTAACTTTTTTCTATAAAAAGGTGACATGCGAGCACACAGTCTACCCAATGGTAAAGTAATAAGGGTCTTTCTTCGATTCCGCGTCGATAAATGTGGGGATTCCCTTAAGCTTTCGCGATGCTATTCTGTTAGAGCGTGGTTCCACTGAGGTAAAGCCGCCCCGTACGTACTGCAACTATTATAAAGCTGTAGCGTAGCTCTACCACGTTTATACGTGTTGTAAGAATACGTACTCGCGAAAGCAGATGCCTCTAAATAATTTGCAACTAATAAAATAGTTTTAGTTGCACATGTGTTGTTTTTTACAGAAGAAGTCAGTTGTTAAAGAAAGAGAGAAAAATGTGTATGTGAGTGCTTGACGAGAAGTTGAGCGTAACTTGAAATGTATTTGGTTTACTTTCTTTGTTATTCTAAGGAAACAATAAAATTAAAGTTTTAATGAATACTGGTGACATTCATAAGGTTGAGAAATTCTACTCGAAGAACTATTTGGACAAAGAAGAAGGCCTAGCCCGACTGCGTGGGGAACTAACAGCGCCTTCAAACGGCAGCAGCAAGACGTCGCCCAACAAGACAGCGCGCGCCGCAGCAACGCTTCTGCAGAGAGCGCTGCGAGATAAAGTCTTCTCGGTTTACAGCCAAGCAAACGAGGTCGTCATCGCGCTGTTTAAGGAGTTTGTTCCGGACAGGTATCCCCCCAATTTTGACATTTAATTGCTTTTTATATACGTAGCTTTACCGCATAGCTTTTAGCCAACTCGACACGAAATGACTCGACGTCATACCGTGCACATGTTGTGTTCTGACCCCAAGATATAGTTTGCTGTTATAATGCCATAAAAATTACAGAGTTTGCGCAGCAGAAGTTGGCCGGTGCATAGACAAGTTACTGCCGGAGCTGCTTAGAGCATGTGGTGACCCTGCTCCCAGGATACACTCAACAGCACAGCACACCGTACTCACTGTGGCCGAATGCCCGCAAGTTAGGTATGATTTATAAGGTCTTCAAAAATAATGCTATGATTATATTTTTTATAGAACTGAAATGACAACCAATCTACCAACCTGGCGACAAGTGGTTACTGTATACTGACACCTGCAGCCACCTTTATACAAAGAAGGCTACATATACGTTGTCACCCTTGAAGACTAAGTTGGAATGCCCCAGAGCCTATAATATAGGCACTCTATACTCATCAAACCAGGAGACTGCAGTGCAAGCACTTCCCATCAGCGGCAGTATAGTGTGTTTAAAAAAATATCAAAAGAAGACATATGACGAGGCTGATATAGCCGACATACGAGTAGCGCAACACTAGTGTTAAGACGACACCGCGAAAAAATGCACCTCTTTCATCGAATAGTTTAGGACTATGAAACCACTAACGAAAGTCGAATTTTGATATAGGTAAATTCGTGTCTCTATCTTGAATTTGCTTGTTCAAAAACACGATTGTATAATTTTGACTAGATCATAATTATTTGCGAAAATACCTCTAAAAAATCACTATAGTTGAAATTACAACGAAATTACTTAATCTATATGCTTGGGAATCACTCAAATATATTCATAACATCAATATTCACAATTTACTTGCTCATTATTTTGATTACTTTAATCAATATTTTTTTAATATTTACAGATTTTAAAAATTTCTAAGCGGTCTTAATCGTCGCGGGCTCTAAGCAATTTTAGACCTTATGACAGCGTTTTTTAAGTTTTTATAGAAATTACGAGTATGAATTCACTCCGATCAGTACGGCGATAGCCGGAGCCACTTTTTCGATGTGTCGTCTTAACGAAAAAAAATGGGTTTTACCATAAATAAATATGTACTGATAACAGAATCTATTTATTTAATGAATATTTGTACAGATCAGTTAATATTACAGTTTTTTGGTATTCACGACACTTAATTACACTCAGACTATTTTATCACAATTTCTCTTCCCACTTCTCTTTGGTTGCGCACGAAGATTGGCGGACGGTGTTGCCAGTAATAAAGTTGCCAACATTAGTAAACTGAAGTGGCAATGGGCCGGTCACATAGTTTGAAAACCAATAACCGATAGGGAAGAAAGGTTCTCGAGAGGCAGCCTCGTCGGTAGGTGTAGTGTGGGGCGTTTCTCCACTAGATGGAGCGACGACTGGTAAGACAACCAGGGAGTCGATGGATGCAGGTGTTTTGGGACCGTGCTCTGTGGTGTTCCTTGGGGGAGGCGTATGTTCAGCAGTGGAATTGTGAAGGGTTATAATGCTGCTGATGATGATGAATGTACGTTGGTGTAACTGAATAGAACAATGATAATATATTCTAGGGCAGTCGCGAAACCTTTTTAATAGGTGATTGGTGGACTCCTCTTTTATCTAAGAGCACAGAATAAATAATACGTACGTACTACGTCCGTTTGTGTAGTTATTACTCTCTTACTTATTTCTGCTGCTAAGTAGCAGTGCGAGCACTGTTGTAATTCGGTCTAGAGGGGATCAGTATGTGAGGCATTCACAGATAAGAAATCGTCTCGCCCTATTATCCCGAGGGTGACGTAAGATGATTTGAATACCATATACATTTCATAGCCTCCGATAGATGTCGGTATAACCATCTTTTAAATGGAATCTGGTGTCGCAAATACCATTCAACCTACCAACCGCGAATTTTTTTATGATCCATTATACGTCATAATCTACATAAATTGGGAATGGTAATAATGCTACGGTATAACGGTGAAAAAAAGATGGATATGAAACTATATCAATACAATATATCACTGTAATATTTCCAGGAGTCTCCACATCATCCCGCAGCAGTTGGTGCGGCCCGTAGCCGCCTCCATGCATCCACGGCTTGCTCTCTCTCGCCTGCAAATACTCGAGCAGCTCATACTCAGCCATGGCATATCCACTGATAAAAACAGGTAAATATTTTCTGGATTTACGTAGTTTCGAAAGGAAATGTTTTTATAACGATTTAGCTTTTTAACCCTTTCACTGCCTCGTTAATTCAAGGCCCTTCACGCCACAGTCGAGATAAACTAGTATCTTGATACAATGACAGATCCCACTCGGAGGCGACGTCGTCGAGGCGTTCTTCACGGCCCTGCATTTGAAGATGATATACCCCTACAAAAATCCTTAATTAATCCCTGAGGACAACGATAGCTCGGAATTGGTCCTGAGACATACTGATCCCGTGCTTCCAGTAAAACAAAGCGAGAGAGGGAATGTTATACTGTGAATGTTCTTCGTTACGGATTCTATATCACGCAGAGAAGTTAGCGGGCGCGCTCTTTACAACTTACCAAAGTGTCATCGTAATTGGATGAATGGTGGGGCTTAGGGGACAAACAAAAGAAACATTCACTTCTATTGTATTTATATTATATCTCATTTGTGTTGTGTATGTAACAAGGAAGAGATTTAATTCGAGAATTTCCAAAATGCTGGCTAAAATTAAAAATGCAATGAAATTTTTTGTGGCAGTTTTATTAGCATACATTTAATAAATTCTAGCGACATATATATATATATTATATATATATATATATATATATATATATATATATATAAAATTCAAACGTAGAAAGGGGATATACTCGTGGTAACCCATCCCCGCCCGGGTCCCCTATGATGATATTTCATGACTTTTTTAATATTTAAAATCAAAAATAATTACAAACGTTTTCTCTTTATATAGAGAAAATTTTCACTATTCTATACAGTATTGCTACATACTATAAAATATATATATAAATATATATATATATATAAATATATATATATAATATATATATATATATATATAAATAATATATATATATATATATATATATATATATATATATATATATATATATATTTATATATATATATATATATAGTATGTAAAAGCAATACTGTATAGAATAGTGAAAATTTTCTCTATATATAAGAGAAAACAAGTTTGTAATTATTTTTGATTTTAAATATTAAAAAAGTCACAAAATATCATCATAGGGGACACCCGGGTTTGAACCGGGGACCTATCGATCTGCAGTCGATTGCTCTACCACTGAGCTATATCCCCTTAGCAACTATGTTCAGAAATAAGATACAATATCTAATAACTAATGACATCAGTTTAAAAACTCGATTTTTTCGTTGTTATTAACATATCTTCCGACAGGAGTGTAGGCGATACTATCTTTTATGGAATGTTGAATAATTTAAACTACATATTATTTGTGATAAGGCTAAATTTATTGAACTTTATAGATCATAGCATCACGCCGTAATCCCTAAGGGAGTGGGCAGGGTCCAAAAGAGCAGCGAGCTACTTAGGATTACTTTAGCCAAAAAGTATGGGTTTAAGGTGGAAAATTGTAAAGTAGTAGGTGGGTAGCCCTAGCCTACACAATCTTTTACGACAGGCTAAGTAAGTAATTAATGGAAGATTCTTTTTTGTTAAAAATAACTCACAAACGTAGGACCTTTAACTCCCAGACCAAAATACGACTATTTTACAGAATTAAAATAAAACGAGTAAGTCCAGTCTTTTCCAGACCAGTAGCTTAAACTTTTCAATTCAGTACAGTGGCGAAGCTAGGGCAAGCCCAAGATATGGTTTCGTTGTTTTTAGCAGTTTTATAAAAATACACCAATCTTGATTAGTCTCCACTCTTCAGATTCGGTGGCTTTGAAAAAAGCCATTTGGGTTTGCTTGAGCGAAAGAAAAAGATATTTACATACAATACAATACATGAACAAAAGAAAAGCATGAATAAAAGTACAAACAAACTATGTACAAAATTAAAAAAGAATTATTTATTTTCCAAATCTAATCGTCTCTATTTCTTAAAGAAAGACTTGATTATGTCCGCGTAAAATGTTGATTAATTGTACAAGATACAAGTTTTCATTACATCAGCGACAGAATGAATAATGTCATTTTGGATTGTACTAGATAAATAACTCGGCCGTTGGTCGATTTGTTGATGTTGCATATGCTTTTCTAACACAAGATCGTACTTCGAAAGAAGCGATACAAGTTCTATATGTAATACAACGTCACCATATCTGCATTTGAATAGGTTTCGTACTTAGTTTCTGTACTCAGATAGCTATCGTATACATACTGTACAAACATTTTAGCACTTCGGTATACCGCGAGTCAACCTGGCACCGCCAAAGGGAAATTTCTACGGATAGTAACGGCTTTAATAGTCCACATAGCAGGACAAAGTAGCAGATTGTACTCTCCGATCTTCTGTAAAATTTGCCGAAGGGTATGATTTTGGCCTAAGGTTCTATAAAGCCTTTTCAGAAATCAGCTTATTCAGGAGACTGGAAATTGACATGTCTGACATAAAAGACATAACATAAGAGAACGTAATCGCAACTTGGAAGGAAAATTAGTCCACAATTCTTCTTTCTTGAAAGACAAAGGCTTCACATCTCCGAAGTTTCATCGAAATCAGACAATAAGCTTATAATTTGATAGAGATATAGATATTATAGCAATAAAAATTGCTTCCGAGTCATGAATAAGAAAGCTACGTTACGCTCCATCCCAATACAAATATAAATCTTTGAATTTCCCCCCTTTCCAGCGGTTTAACAGTCCGTCGTCTTGCGGAATGCGGCGCAGCTGGAGCTCAACATGCGGCAGGATCTGTACGGGCTGCGGCAGAGAGAATACTGCTCGCCGCGTACACCCGCTCACCCAGAGTCGTCAGAGCTCAACTACCTCCAGACGATGCCGTCACAAGGCGCAACTTGATCTACAGACATCTGTTCCAGCAGTTTGATAGAATTGATATGCAAGTAAGTTGCAATCTTAGAGTTATATTTTAGAATGAGACGAAAGCGTTATCTTTCGTGTTGTTGTACGATACATTTAATAACATTCTACAGTTGGGAACTTTGTGTTTTAATAATAACTTACTTGTTACCAGAAAATGCTTAACCAGGCACCTACAGAAGAAGAACTCTTGAACGGTGCGGACCATACGACCGCGGACACTGTCCACGAAACCTCCAGCATCGCTCAATCTACAAGATCAGGCACCACTGCGTCTGGGATGACGTCATCAGGAATGACTTCCTCGCTCATGATGTCATCAATAGGTGCCACATCTTCATACAGCCTGAAGTCAAGCGCCAGTGGGGCCACTTTAGCTCCGTCCAGTTTGAGCGGTAGTTTGACAACTTCAAGAACAAAGAGTAGCCTGAAGAAATCTCCAACGAAGAAGTATACCCCCAGTCGGACTGCGAAAGATTTTTCTAATTACCCTGGGTATAACAAGTTAAGGCTGGACAGCGCTGTCAGCCCGAAACATTCACCAAGAACTACTGCTGTGGGTAACGAAAAGGTTAGACGTGTTACCAAAACAATTATAAGATTTTACATTTTTTTAATGTTTAAATTTGAAATAGATTTTTTCTTTCTTTCCACGTGGTTACCTGTGTTTGCATACTTATAAGTGGACCACGTTCTCACGGAATATTAGCGTAAAATAGCAGCTTGGCGCTGCTGTGTTTCGTATGGTGAGTGTAATGAACCGGAGACTCTTTTCGCTGGAAACGAGGCATTCCATCTTAGTCCTCACGGGTGACAATACATGTGCATTTAGATTCTTAATCGAGGATAGATGTAGATGTTTATGGGCCACAGCTTCCACTTGCCATAAGATGGACTATGTGCTCGTTTGTCACCCTATCCTATAAAAAATTCTTAATGGTATGCAATTTGTGTAATATTATAAATTGTTGGTATTTGTATATAGTTTATACGTATTGCGTTTGTCCTTGTTATGGGTGTAGCTAACTTAATTCCGGAATGAACTCAAGGGAACTGTCTTGCTGAAGTTCTACTAGTCAGATTTGAATTTTTTCCTCTTGTCGGAAACATGAAATTTTCAGAAGAGTACTGATTTTTTGGGGGCTGTTATCCGTTCTCCCGTTAGTTGGTTGATCCCATCTAAACATCTAATTCAAATATTTAATTAAATTAAATTAGTAAATCAATTAATTAACCGGGCCTTTTGAGAAATTACAAGTGCGAGTGGCAAGTGCACTTCTCAAAATGCAAACCGCGCCTAAAGGTATAAAGCAAGTAATAAAGATATTGACAGTTAATTCGCAGCCATCCGCTTAATTAAATACAATGATATGTCTTAACCGGATTGAAGAGCACCTCCCGCCCTCCCTCAATTGCTTGCACTAATCCCGTCACCACTAATCCCAGCACCACGAGTAGTGGTGCCGGGAGTAGTGGTGTTGGGAGTAAAGGACGGGAAGTGCTCTTCAATCGAGGTAAGACACATCATTGTATTTAATTGAACGGATGGTTGCGAATTAGAAAGAAAGGTTTATTCTCCAAAATGACGCCATCACAAATAACATAAAAAAAAACACATAATTTACAAATAATATTGGCTATACAATACAAATTACAATATACTACATATTACAAACTATACAATACCTATACTAGTATGTGTCAAGGCGTCATCTGGGAACAGGAGCACACTCAGCATAATGCCATGAATTTTTTTTTCCAAGGCGCTGATTTTCAGTGTGTCCAACCAGTGACTTACCGAAATCAGTGCTATATGTATACTCATTTTATTATGTTTTAAACAGAATTATGCACAACAAGGGGGAAAGAGACAGTAACTATTTTAAGTGAGAGGGAGAGAGTAGCGTTCAAGGTCGAATGCCACTTCGACACAGCACGTCCCGTTTATGTTGCTTTCAGATGCTCTTAGAAGGTCTATACGAACACTACAAAAGGGGAGATTATTAAAATACTATATAGGGCTATATACTACACTATGTAATTATTGAAGAATATAAAAGTGTATAAGAAGACAAACGCCGCTTATTACCTAATTATCTATTAATATCTTTATTATAATGGATTTCCACAAAGTAACGCCTGTTTCTATCAATTATAAAGCAAGTAGACAACTCAGAGGTGACAACGCATCTGTAGCGTACTTTAAGGTAATACTTTACTAAGGTTGGTTGAAGCTGTCCATGACCTGTGGACTGCAAGTCCGTTTAGCACTTCAATTTCATTAAAAAATTTGGAGAATGGGTCGTAGTATTGAATTTTGAGGTTTTGTTAATTTTTCAGGTACACTTTCAAGAAAACCAAACGGAAGAAGTAATATATCGTCGAAAAAAATCGTAACACAGAGAACCGACATTCAATGATCCACTACGACCACGACACCTCCAAGCCCCAACTAAAGGAACGCCCGGTTACAGTATACGAGCCTTTGCACATTGACTATAGAGATTCACCAACTATTGGCTCGCCAAAAACAACCAAAAACGACCGAAGTCTAGATTCTCTGCCAATGGATTCTCCACAGATGTCCAGGCAGGATATGAGATCTGATTCGGACTGCAGGAGCTTGGACTCACCAAAGATCAAGGCGGAGTTCTTCAAGGATACAGCATTGGACTCGCCGAAACTGGTCGCTGGGTTAAGGAACTTGCATTTAGAGGAGAGCAGCCAGATGGATGAAAGTGGTTATTATAGTCCAGGTATTTCCACGGCGTTTGAGAAAATATCCATTATCTATCGCAGCCTCAAAAAGTTCACAGCTAAACATGGACCTCCACCATAGATTGTCTCAAAGGTGAGATTTTGCCATAGTTGCCACGCTTAGCAGGCGGGATAGCAACCGTAGTATTTTTTACAGTTTTGAGTTGTTTTGAAAAAAGATGCGGCGGCCCATCTTCTTTTCCAGTTTCCCTTTGTCGCCTCTTACGACACCCACGGCACGATATGGGACGAGGATATAAAGTAAAAATATTATTTAAAGAAAAAAATATATGTTTATAAGTTTAAATAAATGATAAAATGAAATTGACCTTTCGACTAGGCTAACTTTAAGGGGAATAAACTCAGAAATAAGCATATCCGCAGTAAAACCAGAGTGACCAACATAGCCCAACGGATTAGTAAGCTGAAGTGGCAATGGGCCGGCCATATAGCTCGAAGGACCGATAATCGATGGGGAAGAAAGGTTCTCGAGTGGCAGCCTCGTACCGGTAGGCGTAGTGTAGAGCGACCCCCCACTAGATGGAGTGACGACCTGGTAAGACATGCAGGAAGTCGATGGATGCGGGTGGCTCAGGACCGTGCTTTGTGGCATTACTTGGGGGAGGCCTATGTTCAGCAGTGGACTTGTGAAGGGCTGTAATGATGATAATGATGAACTTCAAGGGGAGGAACTGGTTCTTGAAACACAGTTACACTCAGGGGCCACGGAATCAATGAATTTATGTAATATTGTATTATTGAATAAATAAACAAAAAAAAAGTTAAGTGGAGGCAATAGACTCTCAAGCGAAGTGTGGTGCCAGCGGTGCCAGCATACGAATTAAAAAATAAAAGCATAAGAAGAATTAAGTTTATCGTATTTTGGCCTTAGGTTCTAATTCATGTTATTTTAACATGTTTGCAATCTCTTTTAGTTGATTTTAATCTTATAAAATAACATTATAGAATATATTTATCAGAATATTTTTAGCTAAATATTGTTTTTAGGAAAGTGGTTTTTCCATTCCAAAAAGTATTTTTTCTTACAAAAATAATTTTGTTACAGGCAGAAGACAACAGATCGCTACTAATGAGCAGCAATATGAAAGTTACGAGGCTGTGGGAGTTGATGTCAGCACCGAAACCACGCCTGAACCAGTGTGCAAGTAGGTACCTTCAAAAACCCATTACATATTTACATTTAGTTCATAGATGACAATAAATTCTTTCTTTAAGTACAATCTTCATTTTCGAACTTTCCAGCAATGCATTAGGTCTATAGCTTTCGATCACATTTCCGCCTCATCCGCCGCGACTCCATCTCGGCTGCGTTCACTAAGTCTACTAGGTTGCGTATCGGGAGTAGGGTCTCCAGCCTATTCGGCCCCTGATACAGCTAATAATACCCCCTATTCTTAGCGTATTTAGTCTTTTATGGATATTACGTATCGTAAGAAGATAAACTTAAAGCATAAACGTTTCAGCACAACGTGCACGTGGTGTGGACGCCGTGTGCGCTCGACAGCGCTGGAGGTGCACTACTGGCGACGATGCGTTCTGCTGGCTCGCTGTCCACATTGCCGCGTAGCGCTTGAAGCGAGGGGACTCCACGCACATCTGCTAGGTGACAATCTATTCTTAAACACCCTCTCTTAAACTAGAGAAATATAGGCCTTTTCATGAAAAGCCAACTAGCGTACGTAAATTTAAAAAATATTAGGCGCTAAAACGGTATACGTGGATAATATTACGTGATAAAACCACGCTGCAGCTATATTATGGTTGTAGCATAATTGCTCTATAACCTTATCAGAAATTAGAGAAAACTCATTACGCAAATAAAGTTAGTTGTTAGTCCAGCTGATGTACTAACCTAGACCTTGACTACATGTCGCATAGAAGTAACTTTCTATAGTACTCAATTACTAGCACAAGTACTCGAACCTATAGTAAGGTACATAAATATGTGGTGTGAGTGTGTGGTGTAGTTATTGGAGAACAATTGAAATGGCGACGGTTGCGATGCGGTGGGGGCAACGAGGCAACGCGCCTGCACTCAGCACATCGGTTTCGCCATTCCATCATTCGCGCTTCCTTAAACCCTCCTTCATTAAATCCCTAGTGATCTGACCGTGACTGAAATTTAGTCCTTCGAGCCGGATTTTAGATACCGATGACATCATTCGCACCGGTAGTAGACTTGAAAACTCACTCTATTGCAACGACGTTAAACATTCAATACTTCTTGTATTAAACGTAGCTATGTAATAAACATCACTTAATAAAAATAATATTTGAAATGCGTAAAATAAAATATTTGAAATAAAATGCAACATTTAAAACTTCTCAACGCTCGCCCTCAATTATTAGTGGTCTATCCGTCAAACTTATTGGCCGTTAGGCGGTACGAATTTATCTAAATTATTAACAAATAATTGCTTAAAATGTTTTAAATTCAAGGCTGCTAACATTCAACCCATCATGTACAAACAAGTACTTGGACCACTGTTTCTTTGACTTAAGTACTTGTATCAGGCGGTCACCAACATCATCTTAATAATTTTTCAGAAGAGTGTTCGCTCAGTGAGGGCCTGTGGAAGCCATGTCAGAAGTGCGGTGCAGCGCTCCGTGTCGATGAGAGCCAATATCACGTCAACTGTATTCGTAAGTTTTTAGAGAAATATTTTTTTACCTTCTTTCTATGGGGAGAATTTAATATAGTCGTCATGCTATATTATAAATAAGGGATGTAATGTAGTGCAAAATACATGTCTCCTTTCTGAGTAATCTTTTGGATAAATCCTAATAAATCACATTCATTTTCATGCGCCATACTCCACCACACGCTTAAAAACATCCGTCACCTCATTTCGTCACGCACGTGTCGTAAGAGGCAACTTTGGGTTATGCCAGATAGTTCTAGTGCACGACGGTTATACTTCCATCTATCGGAATGATATCGCTTACACCAGTCGTATAATACCCACACTGACGACGGAAAAGCGTCAAATGTGCGATACATTTGGTAATATGATCGGCAATTCGTCTGCCAAGGGTGACGATAAACTCATTACCTCTTTACAATGGCAGAGGCCCGGCGACAGAGATATCTAGTAGTGGACTTTACCAAGTTCATAAAAAGATGTCAGAAAAATAAAGATAATTTAGGGATACTCAATTACGCTAAAATATTACTTTAATATCGCACGGCTGTGTGATATTAAATTGATTAACATACATTTTTTCAAGATTGCGCTATCAAACGTAAATTTTTTGAAAGAGTTTTTCATACTCATCTTACTGGAGAGCCGGCAAAAGCAGGGCCAAGATCCTCACATTGAATATACTGCTTCCCCATCATCAATCTCTGACTAGGTGTTGATAATGTTGGATTTTACACTATTAATCTGTCTTTAGAATCTCTTTCGTCAATCTTCTCTCAAAACGTTTCAATGGATATGTCGGCTTCCTGTTGTAGTTGTCCCAGTCGTTACGCTTGGCGGATAGATTTACGACCGCAATTCCGTCTGATCTTTGGCACCTTTCACACTGCTACCCGTCACTGGTCTACGTATTTTACGTCTGGCATAAACGGGATCTACCGGAATCTTTTGTCAATTATCAGCATAAAATTAATTAGTAAATCCTTCCTTATTTTACAGCTCTAGGCCTAGACGAGTGGAAATGCCCATATTGCCTAACAAACGTGTTAGCTCGTGATCTACCCTGGCAGCGCCATCTGATGCAGTGTCCCCGAAACCCACGACGTTCACAAACTTAGTCCAGTTACGGGTATTTCATGTTAAAGGGTTTGATTATATACACAGGTTTGTTTTTTTAATGATCGTAACTTATCTGCTTCTGTTATTTAAAAAATAGAAGTTTTCCGATATTTATTATTTACTAATGTTTAATTTATATTGTGAAAATATTTTTATGTCTTTCAGAGTTTGTTAAAATTTTATATAATTTCCAAATTGTGTTATTTGCATGCATAAAGTTAACATTCTTTATTTCAAATTGAGCTATTACGAGAAGACATGCAGGTAATCACGCAAAATATTACAATATATACATTAGAATCAATTATGTTACACCAAAATATTAAATAACTCAATACTTATATTAATTCTTAGATCTACATGATATAAACTAGTGATTACATGTGTTTGTATATTACTTCTTAAATTGTTATTAGTTAATACCTTCTGTTATTACTAAAAGCTTACTTAAGTGTTATTTATATCTCCTAGAAATTTCTTGCGCAATACTATTTAGTGAATTCTACACGCATGTATAAATTTGTAGTATTTTTCGTTACCTTTATCTTAAGTCTTAAGATAGTTATGTCAGTCTACTACTAACAGTCGGTCATCGAAGCCGTCTAGACGGGGAAATCGTGCGGTGCGGTGCGGGGCGAGACGCGGGCGGGGCGATCCCTAGCGGACATCCCGAGCGGACAGCCCCCGAGCGGCCGACGGCCGCTCGGGAGCTGTCCGCTAGGGATGTCCTCTCATGGTAACAAATTTAAATGGTTTACACTACATGTGCGGTAAAAACTGTGGATCGTCCTCATTTAAAGATAAGGAGTTAAAGTGTCATCATTTTCCACAGACACAGGAATTTGTTTAAATGCGAAATAAAATAAAATATTTTTTATTTGTTCTGTTTTGTTGTTGTTCTGACAACCCTAGTAATTTATTGTTTATGTTCTTTTTCGACTGCAACATCAAAAGCGATGACTGACTGTATGTTCTTCTTAGGCTGTAGTTATGTTGTCTTATAATTTCATAATTTTGATGTTGATGTTTATTTACATCAGTTTTAATAATTATAATTTAAGTCCCGTTATTGTAATTTGATGATCTCGAACCATTGTCCATCTTAGTATAGGATTTATGTTTCTAGCAAAACTGTTACTAGTAGGGGTAAGTACGTACAAAATGACATACACGGACAAAATGACACAGGCATCAATATTTCAAACTCTGTCAATTCTAGCCCGCCCTAGACAATTATATCACGTGAGTCTACCGTCTCATACCAATCTGTCAAAACGTGAACTCGCGCCTGTCTTTCGTTCGGGTGTCATAGCCGACGACAAAAATTGATAAGTTACGTGTTTTTTTTTTTTAGATTGCAGGGTATCTTTTGTATTAATATTATATTTTTCATAGTTTTACCTTGCTTGTTTACATTTATTACACCACTTAGGTAGTAAAAATCTATTAGGACAAAATGACATAGTACGTCGTTTTGTCCATAAGATCTCAATGAGCTCATTGTGCACTAACTATTTACCTTTATTCAAAGCTGTTAATTTCTTCCGAGATAAAACTTTACAAAAACACCTTACAAAAACGATACAGTTCATACAGCCGACTGACACTAGTACACTACTGAACAAGGTTCAAGGTTCAGGTTAATTCAACATACTAGTTTCATCAAACCTTATTTCTGTGCCTCCTGTGATAGGTGATACAAGTGAAAAATCATCATTTTACAAGAGTGCAAAAACAAGATTTAAAAAATTCTTGTTCGTGAACTAAGTGGGCTAGGTTAAATTTGAGTTTCTTCTTTTGTAGAGTAAAATATTCTCTTTCGCTATATATTTTAGTTTTTTAGTACATTATTTAATTTTTAAAGTAAATCATGAAAACCTGTGAGTTGTACCTTTTATTATGTGCTAAAATTATGTGATAAATGATACTTGTACAGTTAAATTACGTTGCATCTATAAGTTGTCGTTGTGTAAACTGATATACACGAAGTTAAAACATATAATAACTCATCAGAATAATGATCCTAGCACAGTGTTCTTCAAACAAAAGATAAAGATATAACCGTTTAGATTTAATTTTTTTACTTATCAGTCGCCTATTTACAATATTTACCTGAATTGTATCAGAATACTAAAATCCTAGTATTTTAGAAGATGAGTTAAATGATATAAGTCGAGATATACCCATCAGCAAAAGAGATATGGATTGTGTAAATAAATACAAGTTGTAGAAAAATAATCAACGTTTATTAAACTTTTTCAAAATAAATAATTCACTCAAATTTAAGGCACAAATTTATCAAAATTCTTAAAAAAAAGTAAATTGAGATCAAATAATCACGATTTAACAATATGAATGTAGCTTAACTATTCTCAATAGGAACTTATCATTTGTAAAAAAAGTTAGCAAGTAATTTTAAACTTAAAATCTAAGAAATGGCACAGATCTATCTTTAGGTATCACGATAAGCAATATTAACCTACTAAGTACAATACAAAGTATCACAATCATGTCTTAATCTAAAAATCTAGGAAAATAACAAACAAACAAAATTTTTCAACACTTCAAATTTTAACAGGTGTTCCATAGAGGTAGATAATAAATTGCACTCTGAGATGGATAACTCGTCTTAAATGATTATAATGTTAACTAAAAAAATACTTATACTCAAATCAGAATTGAACCTTTTTAAATTATTATAATATGCCCACCTGTATGTAGACTAACGTTAACAAAGCAATAAAAAAATAACAAAGTCTTTCGATCTATAAGTTATAATATGAACCGGAACCTATTCACCATCTGAATCATCGTCATTATCCGCTGGACTGTCTTTGACATCATTTTTGCAGCTCAGACTTCTGTAAAACTCATGAGCGCTCTCATGAATAAAGCATAACAAATTTAATAGATCTTTCTTCTTATCGGTTGAAATAGGAAGTTTAGAGTGGTAAGCTTTCGGTACCATATTAATCGTAAATATATTATCATAAGTTTTCCCCCCGTTTAGAACAGTCCATGGTCAAGTACTCAACATCTTTGAACTCTTTTTTGTAAGAAAAACAGGATATGTTTTCTTTGTTATAAAGAACAGATCTAACGTTCAACCACAAAAACTTTTCATTGGCTGTATTCGTTTTCCTAAAAGTAAAAGATTGCTTTACGAAAATGTTAAAATCATAAAACATTTCATGAGTCATTTCGATAACAGTAAACTTGGCTGTTTTGTTTGAAGCTGTACGCACTAGTTGGTACCAATCTCTTGGCAAGTGTATATCCATATTCGTGATCTTCTTTTTACGCTCAATCAATGCATGGTCGGTGTCAGCCTCCATGTGTGTATGGCCAGGTACGAGAAATTTATGTTCAATAAATTGTAATTGTGGGGATAGTCTAGTAACTAGCATTAACATTGTTGTTACAATCGAATTCTTGTTTTGGCCAGAACAAGAGTCCGAGAACATGATCAGCTTCTTAGCGTTTGGGTGTAAGTTTGGTAGTTGATTTATGATAAAATCATATAAACACGAAGCAATGTCATTAGCCCCTCTATTACCCTCACACTCCGGCCACATGTAACAGAAAGCCTTGTTTGTTTTCAAATCGTGTATGGTCAAATTAAATGTCCACAATTGTCGCTTATAAAATGCAACATTCGTTTGCAAGTACGGGGTGGGTAAACATTGTTGCAAATCAAATGTTATGACAGCTACAACTTCGCTCGATTGAGCCAGTTGTTTATCTGCCTTTTTCTCTTCGTAAGCAGCCTTAAACGCCTCTTGATGCTCCTTGAACGTCTCTATCAGATTTGCAGCCTGATCCACAGATGCATACTTGAGTTTCATATTGATGCGGTCACATTTTGAACAAGTGTCTACAGATGGCTTTTTAAAGGATAAGTTCATGGTTTCAAAGACCTTTTTAAAGATGGTTTTGCTTACTGGAGCATCAGTCTTCAGTTTGTATAAGTTATAAAGAACTTGAAGGTTGAGCTCGGAATTCAAAAAACTTTTTAGTGGTTTTGTTGCGGCCGTAGTGGCTTTCTGTGCAAGGGAAACAAGCAATATGTTCTTTTATTTCCTCTAGTTTGAAATCAGGAATTGACTTACCAACTCGACGTTTACGCTGAGGAAGATGACCGCCATTGTCTCGTAGTTTCTCGCATACCGTTTGTAGATATTTGTGACTTTCATCAAAAGTCTTCAAAAAACATCCTTTGCAAATTGGATGTTTTGTATGATCAAAACCATGTACAAAGTAACGAAAGCTGACGTTGCGTTTTTTCTTTGGAGAAAGCTTCGAAGTTTTTTTTTTGGCAGACTTCAATACATTTCGCAATGTATTTAGTTCTATTTTCGTAACTACCTAAACTCCAGTACTGTTTAAAAAGTTTCTCCCTCAAGTCCTGTGGTAGTCTCTGCTTGCATTTTTGACGGCAGTTTTCAAGATCATGAAGTTGCCGACGTTTCTTTGTTTTCCCTGATGTCGTTATATATTCTAAGCCAGTATTACGAAACAATTTTCTCCTTGCTCTATCCTGTCTTCTCTCCTTGACACTTTTTCTTGTTTTTTTCTTTTTCCCGGCACTATTCATACTGTTGCGTTCCCAGAAAGAGCAACCAGGAACAGGGTTCTCTGATGTGCTCATGGGCGACGGGGGTGTTTCTGGAACTGTAATATTGGAGGTATGTCTCACCGACGACGTAGTCGTTCTTTTCTTTTTAGCTGAAGTTCTTTCATTATCACTGGATGACGACGATTCATCAGTAGCGCAAATATAATCATCACTGCTAGATGATCCAAAATCACCATCGTCTGATGAATCGGAAATTCTCAAGTCATCTAGTAGGTATTTTGAAGAATTCTCTTGTGTCGTGTTCCTCTTATTATTGTCACAAACCGTTTCCGCAGCAATTGGAAGGTCCCGCGACTCTTCAACTGGTTTTCTTACTTCTTGCGTCCCTATTAATATGTTGCCTTCTTCCTGGATATCACTAGTTTTTTCTTTGTCAATAACCGTTTCTGCAACTATTGGATCCTGATGACGCGACCCTTCAACTGTTTTTCTTGTTTCTTGCTCCTCGCTTGATTCGTAGCCATATCCCTGAGTATTACAATATTTTTCTTCAATTTCGGCTTCAGAGGCCAACTCCATTATTTTATCAATTCGAGATTTTAACTGAAACGAACATTATTCTATTTTGCATTAAATACATTAAAGTTTTGAAAACCACAGCATGAAAACAACACTTGTCTCTAAAAAGACTTTAAATAATAAATCAAAGGTTAATTAAAAAAACAGGAAATGACTTTGAATACCTAGTTAAAACAAAATAATAGGGACAAAATTGCAAAAGAAAAGATCAAGCAACTTAATTACTATGACTATACGAAAACATTACGTTATTTTGTGTCAGGTGATTTAATTCAATATCAAAACAAAAAATCCAATATTATGGAATTTCGTGTAAAATGATACGTCTATCAACTTACGCGTCGATCCATGGCGCATTCGGACGTGACCTCACTCCATCAATGCCGCAGCGACACTGCCACAGAGTACCTTAAGACACTGCGGGCGGAAAGCACGAGCAAAACTCAAAATACGGCTCCAAGTCCCGCGCATCCCCGATCACGCGGCGCTTCACCTCCGCGCACCCACACTACCTACACTCGTATCATTTAGCACATCATAGTTCTACATAAATATTTTTAGAATTGGTTTGACTTTTAAATACAATTACATTTATATCTGTTTACACATAAAAACAGATTTGTGTAGAAAGATTTATCTCACGATGTATCACTTTTCACAAAAAAATTCATAAATTCACATTGGAATCGGTAGGTATATGTCCATTTGTACCCTAGGCATATCGAAAAGAATCGGTTCAAAAGGATATGACTCTAGGCACATCAATATTCACGATAATTGTACTGAAAAATAAAATGTGAAATTGAATACAATCACATTTAAATCATGAAGTACGAAAAATAGTGCATTGAGTGATTACTTATGGAGGTTACATCTTGACAAATATCGATATTCACGAATTTTTTGCCAAATTCTGGACAGTTATATCAATTTGCACAAAATTATCTCCGAAACTATAGCAGATAGAAAAACGTGAGTTAGACCAAAAAAAATCGTAATTATTTTCTGATAATGCCCATGTTAAAATCACAAAAAAGGGTACAACTCAACTTAAATCACTCATCACAGGAGGCACAGATTTTACCTGCTCCAAATCAAAAGCTGTTGGTAATAAAGAACGCCCTTTATTCTATATTCTAGTAGTGCCTATTGAGGATATATCACCTAAGGATGTCATATAAGTGGCCAAACGTAAACCAAAGATACAACAAACCTTTTTGATTTTGACTCTCCTCCAAACATGAACGCAACTAAGTCAAAACATGAGCCTAAAGCTCCTACAGAGAAGATGAGAAGAAACGTTACCAAACCTTGTTCGAAGAAGTCAATGAAGAAGAAAATTTGGCAAGCTACGCTCGATGATGAAGAGGATTGCGGTTACATATATTGCAACGATCTTTTTTCCCGGTCAAGACCTGGAGAAGACTGGTTGCGGTGTTTAAGTTTTTCGCAATAGGCCCCACGCTTCTTGCGCGGATGTTCCCAAACGAACAAAGCGATTCATTTGCGAGCTTTGTCCTTAATTTTATAAATTTTGTTGATGGATTTTCGTTAACTTTAGTTAAATTTTAATTTAAAAAAAATTAGTTTAATTTATCTTTTAAAAATCTATTAGAATTCATAGATATAAAACCAAAGATTACTGGTGTACAATATGAATATGCTGTGATTTATTAATAGAGTTATGACCCGAAAACAAACTGTATGTCATTTTGTACGTATTTCCCCTAAAACTAATTACTCTGTGGTTCCTTAGAAAACAGACGCTTATTGCGTCTCATGGAAATAATAAAAAGACCAAAGTCATCGTACTAATAAATTTTGCAATAGCCTAAATAATTCCGTATAAAAAAGACTTTAACCGTAAAATTATGGTTACGTAAAAGTGGTCACGTCTCTTCACAGATTACCCCCTAGGGGTTAGATTACCCCCTAGGGGGTAATCTGTGCGTCTCTCTTTCGCCCTCGACATGTCTGCGAATAATTTACAAAAAATGTCATACTGTTCAGAAAACCTAACCTAGTAATTATTCTCCTATCTCCGTGGATTTTCATTCACTCAATTTAAAATAGAAATAATAACTATATAAAAAATATACATCAGTCAATTTTTGAAATGAATTATCGTTTCAAAAACGATATTTATGGCACAGCTTTTCTGATCCGTTCTACCACCGTCCAAAGTGTACGTATGGATTCCGTCTTAGACATTGCTCATGTGTTTGTTTAACTATGCCAACATAATGTATTCTTAATCGTTCCGTTTTTATAATATTGTATCTTAAGTTTGTTTTAATTATAATAGGAATTACATTGTTAGATGCAGGGGTTCCCAATCTTTTTCAGTATACGGTGCACTTACAGTTTTAGTATAAGGTCTGTGAAAAAGTTTCTTCGTATTTTATATAAAAATTCAAGACTTTTTTTTTTCAAAGTTTAATTACATATGTCCATAGCTTGTTGCCATCTTGTAGGTAGTGACATAAACCTGTAGCTGTAGAAATCTTGGGATATTTGATCAAAAAGATGCGACAAATAATTTTGACAGTCCTCTCTTGATGTTAACCTAAACTTTTCTGTTGATCAATTCAGGCTGTTTTTCGTCAATTTCTTGCTTGAGTTTTATTAGTTTTTTGCAGTAGAGGTCCGGGTCGATGGTTTTGCCCGGCGGTAAAAGCTCATAATAAACGATGCCCTTCCAATCCCATCACACACAGAGCATCACTTTATTACATGTCAATTCACTACAGTCTGTAGAGCTTGACTACCCTTTGACTGTGATCTTTTTCGCACATTCTTGTCAAAGTAGATCCACTTTTCATCACCAGTCAAAACTGTTTTGTGGTCAATCCCCAATTTCTTGACTATGTCGTAACTACTAATATGCCGATATTGCCCCACTTTTTCAAAAATGGCATCGACTTTATCCGTATGAGGGCGACCAGAGTGAACTGCATCTTAGAAATCTAAAGTGGACTGAAAACGCTTGAACTAACTTTGTGGTACTCTTACTGACACTGCATTAGGTCCATAAACATCACAATTTTTTTCGATGTCTGAGTCGCATTATTCCCTTTTTTGTAATAAAATTACAGAATGTATCGAATTTTTTCGCTAGATTAATTCATATTGGCGGCGATCCTCTTTACGCGGCTCACGGAACCCCTGGATTAATAAACAATTTCTAAAAAAACTATAAAATATCTACATCCGGCCATCAGTCACAGCTACTGTAGCTTTTATTATAAAATGTAAGAGACATTTATTTTCTTCTTTTTAGTTCTCGAAAAAGTGAAATTTGAATTTAGAAAATATTTTTCTAACGATATTGTTTATGGTTGATTTATGAATGTGACATTTTAATAGAACATAGGATCCTTGGATAAAATCACTATATTACTCATTACGTTTTATTGCCATTAAAATTTTTACGAAAATTATTGGCAAAAATCTTGATTTCAATTATTCTTAAAACAATTATTTCCATTTTTTTGTGTTTATTGTCATAGTCAAATGGATTTGTAGTTTTATTAAATAGATTCGTAGCGTAATGTTATTAATAGTTTAAACTTGAATATTGATTGTAAATTACACAAGAAGGCAAGAAAAAGCGCAACATAGTAGTAAATTCTAAATTATTATAAAGAGTAGTTGTAGATATTTTGTAGAGTAGATAATTTTTATTGTATTGAGATAGTGGTTACATAGCAATAGGTTTAAAATTACGAGTTAAGGGTTGTGAGTTCCGTGTTCATTGCATTGTATGCAATAATGCACCATAGATCGAGCATAATATATAAATGGTGTTCTATTTTGTTTAGTATCATCAGACTTGTACACATAAAATTGTCAGTTACCTCATTGAAGTATGTCGTAAGAGACGTTTAAGGGAAATGCCAGAAAATCATTATGGTCCTCGACAGACGGCGGTAGAGGTAACCATCCCTTATACGCTAGATATGAAATAGGTACTTACTATTTATTACTCGTATTATTATTACAAAAAAAAAAAAAAAACCTAAATTTACTTATTACTCGTATGAGTCGACTCGGCCAAAGAAGGACCTCGGAAAGAAAAGAAAGAATACGGCAGCTTAATGCTGCTTTGTTTTTTTTTACTGGCAATGAGGCTATATATTTTAATTTTTAGTTAAAAGGATAGATGTAGATATCTATTGTTCATAACAGCCACTGACTATCAGGTGGGCTGTGTGCTCGTTTGCTCTCCTATTCTACAAATCAAAAATTGAAGAACCTATAACTTCAGATCGTGTAAATAATAACTACGCTAAGCTCTGAAATCGGAACTCCTGACCGCTCGTTGTATAGCTTAGTTTAATCATAAGATCAAACTTTTTGTTCACTTTTTTTAGCCGTAGTAGCCGTAGCAGTATAGTAAATTAAGATCTAGTCAATGGGTGCGTTTGGCAGAAAAAAGCGCTAGCAAGCGCTTACAAGCGCTGAAATAGTTTTCGGCCAGGACACGATTGCTCCGCCATTTTCCTTATTTATTTTGTTTGTTTTGAAGTAGAGTTTATAAGTTGTTTTGTGCAATATTAGTTTTAAGTAATATATTGACATGAATAAACATATACATGTTATTAAAAATTCATGATTGGTAAGTTTTTAATATGAATACTTTACAAACATATATTTAAATTAGGTTAGGTTCCCCGGTTAAAACTAAGATCGTGTCCCGGAGGAAAATAGCTACTTACGATTTGACAGCGCTTACCGCTTACGATCGCCATTTTGCTTACAAGCGCTTGCTAGCGCTTTTTTCTGCCAAACGCACCCAATGTGTGTCGATAACCGATACAGTGTTATCGCTTTCCACCCTAGGATAGACATATTTATCGGCAAACACAGTCTTATTTATTTTTAAATTTACACCTATCACAATATATTTTAAAATGTTGTTAGTTTCACCATTTTGAAATCAAACGATGTACGTAAAATACGTACAGAGCGTTTCGCTTAATCGTTTCTGGACCTCTACG